ACCCCTAATAGGAGAAGGGCAGCAGATACCTGGGAACACCACCACCTGCAAGTTCACCCCCAAGTCACTCACATTCTGATTTGGAAATCTATCGCTGTTCCTTCTGTATTGTTGGGTCAAGATTCTTGAACAATATAATGGTATTATGGGTCTACCAACAGCACGTACACTGCAACAGTTCAAAACTGCAGCTTACCATCACAAGGGTAATAAAGAATGGTCAATAAATGCTGGCGTAACCAGTGCCAACCTCCCATAAGTGAATAACAAAAAGCACATTTGAGTTTTAAATGAACATGTGATATCCATAGCTGCACTGAATACTTGAGACGATCAGGTAGTCAGTTAACAATTTGGTAACTGATTCAAAGGAACAAAACTAAGAAAATAGACAGCAATAGTGTTATACTTTTTAATTAATGAACATTTTTCAGTCAATTTAATTCTGTTGCATGCATATTTTACAAAGGGAAATTGTTTTATTTACAAATAGCATATTCATTACAAAGAACAATAAGCAAACTGTTAACACAAAAAATATGCACATCTAAAAATATATTTTCAGCACTTTTTATTTCTATTTAAATGATACACTGTTGTGTTAGAATTGTTAAACTTCACTGACAGCCAGCCTTTTCTAAGAGCTGCCTATGTCTGAACTTTCTTGATCTGTATCAAACTATTAGATCATGGGCTGAATCTTGTGTTTTTTTTTGGCTAAGTCTGAGTTGTGTTGAATTTTTGGGAAGTTTATCACTGGTAGGTTTTCTCACCATATCTTACCAAGCTCATCTCGTTGATTGCCTACAACATCCCTATGGCATTCTCATGTCTGATTTCTGTCTCATGTTACCACAGCTGTTCCCATAACAACTTGCCAGTCAGTAGATAGCCAGTGAAACGCCACCAAGCCTTGCACCTGTGCCATCTTTAAAACTTTTTGGTGTACCTGAATAAGCACTGGCATTCTGAAGCTTCTATGCTTAGTTACAGGCAGAGTCAGGAAATGTTAGAGATGGGGCAGATGGCACTGCAATTCTCTGACAGGGGCTTGAAGGTCCTGTTGGATGGGGTGGTACAAAGGAGGGCTGTACAATTCCTGGAGGACTGGTACATGATGCTGAGCTGCCAGATCCTGCTAAACATTATCTGAGGTTGCCACCCAAGTCAATGTCATCTCCAAGGTGTGGAGGAACTGCCAGCAATGCAGTAAAATGGTCTTCCTGCTCTGCCAGGATAAGTGCCATACTGTCACCTCTCGCACGCTGTCTCTGGTATTGCACTCAACTGTACCACTGTACAAGCTGTACCACTTGCACTATTGCTTGAAACAACTTCCATCACTTGTTCACCATACTCAGCCGCCCACACCACTAACCTGGCATGCCCGCCATGCTGCCTCCTTAGTCCTTCTGAACACCCACCACCTTCCAACACATGCATCAATACCAACAGCTGTGCCAGCTACTATAATCTTACACAATTCCCCACTCTCCCCTACTTTTCTCGTTGCAGGAGAAGGCAGCCTATAACAGAGCATAGGGAGCCTGCACAGGTGGAGGAGTGCCCTGTGTAGGTTTCTCATCCCTGGCAATTTCCAATCAGGACACTGTCAATGCCATGCCCTCCAACTCCATCCTGCCTGACCCACTCTGTTCCTTGTAAGTTCAAGCTGAGGAGGAGCAACTTGCTTCTGGTAAGAAGACCCTCATTAAGCTTGGCCTATCCAGACATAAACACCCCCAGATCACCCTGTCAAACCTCCAGGCCAATGGTATCTACATCAGAGCAGGCTCACTTCAACCCAGCTGTGACATAGTGAAAGGGAGGGAAAGAAGATAATTTACTGAGGCACTTTGGTGGCACTTATTATTTGAACTTTGTACATAAATGTTGTTGACTTTAACTTTCATGTATCTGCTTATGAGTCTTTCGCTCCAGGAGATAAATATTATCACACCATCCAGCAGCAGTTCATGGTCACACTGTAGGCCTCATGGAGCAAAGTTTATGCTGAGCGTCTACCACATACAGCTACAAGAGCAGGAAACAATGCATACATGTGGTTTTGTGTGCTGCTGGCACCATCGACTCTCCCATAGAATCCATACAGTGTGGACCAAAAAGCCCACACTGACCCACTGAAAAGCATCCCACCCAGACTCACACCCCCTACCCTAGCCTTGTAACTCTGCATTTCCCATGGCTAATCCACCTAACCTACACATCTTTGGACCGTGAGAGGAAACCAGAGCACCAGGGGAAACCTGCACTGACACGGGGCGAAAGGGTAAACTCCACACAGACCATTGCCCGAGGCTGGAATCAAACCTAGGTCCCTGGCACTGTGAGGCAGCAGCACTAACCACTGAGCCAATGTGTCTCCCCTAATGATCTCTAACATTGGGATCCTGTCATGTGCAGTGCTTAGCTACTGGCAGTAGCTGTGCCAATGAGATGCCACCTGCAAAGGGATCGATGCTCTAGAATGGGCAGGCAGTATGTAGCCTACAGGCCCATGTGATACACCTTTCAGGGGCCAGTGACTTTTAAAAGCTTTATGAATAGTATGTTCAGCAGCCGTCTCCCTCAAAGGTTGAGACACTTACCGCACCCACTCTGATTGTTTTCACAACCATTTTCTTCCCATTGCACACTTTCAAGTTCCAGTGTGATGACAGGAAACAGTGAGTGTTCCTCTGCCAGTGGTTCCCAGCCCCCAGCCTGAAAGTATCTGTGAGCATCCAATTATCAACATCCCCTTTGTACTGGCCCATCCTGTTAACCCCACAGGATTCACACTTCCCCAAGCCTCCACCAAACCTGTCTACACACCTGCCTAACCTTCCCACCCAAACTCTAACATTTAAAGTGGCCATGCATTCTGTGCTAATTTAAGTTTCTCCCACATACATCGTTATAAAGCTACTGACCACAGGTGACTCCCTCCCTCATTGCATCCTTCCCAGCCATGTTTTACAGTATCATTCCCTCTGAAATCCTCCTGCACACCATTCACAACTATGCTGCATCCTTGCCAAGATCCCAATCCCAACGATTAATGTGCCAAGGCTCAGTACCATACCTGTGGTGGCAATTTCACCCCCCACCTCCCACAACTGACCCTTCAGTTTTTGAGGATGGAATGATGGCTTGACCATGCCCAAACCCCTCAACCAACATGAGTAGACAGACATGGGTGAAATGTGCCTAGACCCCTGACTGGTGCCAATACATCTTCCAACTGCATTAGCCCCACACACCACACCCCCACCCCAAGACTTGCTTCTACAGAGTCAATGGACTGGCACTGGCTCACATCCTGGACAGCAGAGCCATGGACTCCCGATCAAGAATTCCCAACCAGAAGCTTGAGCCTGGTCAACCCTTTGGACAAGTATGTGAGGCTGCCCTTGACTTGCTATGCTGGGACCCCTTAACTGACAGACTCCTCCAAGGATTTGAAGGTGTTGGATAAATGGTTGCTTGCTTGCAGCGTGTTTGGCACATAAGTTGCTGGCTTAAGTGTGAAATTGACATAGCATCCTGCCATACAACAATATCTGGGCCCTAAGGTGATGAATGATTGGCAGCAAGGCAAGCTGCCTGATTGTGTGGCTGTGCTAATTGGTAAGGCAAGGCCTAGATGCTGCAAGCATGCAGGGAGGCACTAAGTGAGAGAGCCGGGTATCTGTCCCTGTGTAAAAAGTGACCCCTCTGCAGCTTTTCAATACACATTACTGGTGTGCCCAGCAATTCTGTGCTTCCAGATTTGAAGTGTTAGGATGGGCATAATGGGCTGACATGTCAGATGCCAATATCCATGGAGGAGGACTGAATGCAACTAGTGCCAATGAGTTAGCACTGTGCCCTGAGCTATTGTTTGATTGCAGGTAATGTGGAGATGGTTCAGAGCAAGCAATGAGCTGAATTTACCAGGTACACACTCTGGTTTTCTTGTCAAGGTTTCCTGAAATTTAGCTTGTTTGGTAAATATGGTAAGATGGGAGTCTGAATATTAATAAGGCAAATTGTGGTGCTAACAACGCATTTAACAATCAATAATGAGTGTCAATTGGCATCTCTCCACTACCACTTGTGAAAAGTAGAAAAGATGAAGAGAGATGATCTTGACATAGAGAAAGGCCTCACTGCACTTATCACCTGATTCTGCTCCATGTCTCACCATAGCCTCATTACTCAGATCCCTCTAAAAGTCACCCAGTGTGTTTCCACCAAATGTATATTTTGTTGCCATTTACCTTAAATATATGTCCCCTGGTTCTCAATCTCTCCAGCAATGGTAACATTCATTTTGTGTACTCTGTCCTGAGACCTCGTGGCCAAAGACCAGAGGAAAATGTTGCTGTTGCTCCCTTACCGGTGCTGGAAGCATACCCTGTGTACGATGAAGACTCTTCTATCTCATTTTGGGCTCTGACCGATAGTAGGCAGCTGAGAGATCTGCTTCACAGCACTTTGGCACAGTGGGCCTCCCCAAATTTCTTTGTTTTGAGAAACAATATATAGTCTTTAGTGCTCCTGACTTATTTTTATCGTTCACAGGATAAGGGTCTCTGGCTAGGTCAGCATTTATTGTCCATCTGTAATAGCCCAGAGGGCAGTTAAGAGTCAACCTTAATGCTATAGGTCTGGAGACACATGTAGGCCAGAGTGGGTAAGAATGGTAAATTTCCTTCCTAACAAAAGATATTAGTGAACAAGATGGATATTTCCCTGATGATCAATAATGGTTTTATGGTCGACATTAGACTCTATCGTCTAGAGTTTTATTGAATTCAAATTCCACCGACTACTATGATGGAATTTGAACCAGATCCCCAGAACATTACCTGAATCACTGGATGAATAGTCTAGCAATAATGCCACTAGGCTTGTTTCAGAGATAGTAGGAACTGCAGATGCTGGAGAATCTGAGATAACAAGGTGTAGAGCTGAATGAACACAGCTGGCCAAGCATGCTCCTCTGATGCTGCTTGGCCTGCTGTGTTCATCCAGATCTACACCTTGTTATCTCATACCACTAGGCTATCAGCTCCCCTTGAGATCCTGGTGTTTCATGTGCATATTGGAAACATAGATTTGCAGGTACACTATATCTTTTATGTTGAAATGAATGGATACTAAAACAAAATGTGGAGTCATGAATTGGGGGTAGACATAAATTTCCAATATTCATCCATCTGGAGCATTACAGATGAAAGATTGCATAAAGATCTAACTATAACTTTTTTGGCAATGACACTCCTGCACTGTTCAAAGTGAATTATACTACATTCATTATATTCCTCAAATTTACATCAACAGGAGGCCTGGTTTGTCAATGCTTATACTCATTGCCCGCTACAGATTAAGAGATATCTACATTTGATCTCTAGTGTGTCCTGAGTTAGCTGATCTCAAGCAGGTTGATCATTTGGAAGCTACAGTTAGCCTTATATGAAGGAGATGACATCCTGCTCCTTGACTGCTATGTAATGCTGAAGAGTGTTCAGAGACATTTTAGCTTTGTGTAATGGTGTAAAACAGGCAACAACAAATCAGCAGACCATGTATTATGTCTTTCCCTGCCTTCCCAATTTTTATTGACTTCAACGAAACAAAATTTGTTGCCAATTTGCTACCACTCAGCGCACAAAATTAAAATGATCCCCTGCGTATATGGCTGTAGGGTGGAGACAAGAATGGCTCGACTATGATATTACTCAATGGTCAATTATGCAATCGCTATCCAGACTTAGCCACATTAAATAGTGAATGACTGCAAATTTAAGTTACTACCATAAGGACAGAATTGGTGAAAACCTTTTAGACAGAAAATGAAAATTAGAATGAAAAACTAATGTCAGATTGTTGACCAGAAAGAACTTTTCTTTAAGTATCACTCTTGTCAAACTATAAATGAGTACCTTCCTCCAAACAAGTTAATATCCCTTTAAATAGAATGTTTTAATTATATTTTCTGCACCTTTTTGTAGAATAATAAATAATTAAAAACATAGTTGCAGTAAAAACACTTAAAGTACATAATGCAAAAATCAGCAACTGTTTTCTGAAGAACAAAGGATTGCATCTTGCAGAAGAATGTAAGTCTTGATAACATTTTGTACTGGTGATATTTGATGTAGGAAATCCTCCATTATCTACAATTCTCCTGTAATGTTCAACAGAGAGCTTAGCTGCTCGATTAGAAGTGAAGAAGCCATAGTTTGGTTCATCGATATCTCTTAAGGCCCAAGCAAAATACCCGCGAATGTTTACTCCATCTAGTTTTAAGGCTGGAAAACAAATTGAATGCATGAAAGGATAAATTGCATGATGTGCACAACCACAACGTGAACATTTTGTGAAAATGGGCATAAGCTTGAATATATACACTGTCTTGTCACATCTTCAGGACATCACAGCTTTGGCAAGGGTTCAAAGCAAGCGATGTCAGATCATCTCTCTGTTATGCACAGTACGATATTTCTACCAGCTGACTTCAATTAAGTCTTATAATGGGCAGACAATCCATCAACACACACAATAAAGTTTCATTTTAAGTCTTTCTCAATCCTTACAAAATTAATTCAACCTGTAGGCAGGCTGTTTATTGTAAATCTAAATATGTCAGTTAATTTATGTACATTGCAAAATTCACAATCAGCAGTTCAACAGCAACGTGAGGGTTAAATTTGATTAAGCAATGAATGTTAGGCAGGTTACTGGAAAAACCTCCTGCTGTTTTTTTAAAAGTGCAATTATCCACCTCCATCCACCTCAAACAGTAGTTTAATGATTCATATGGAAGGCAGCACCTGAGGTAACGCAGGAGGATTTTGAGATAGAACGAGTTTCTGTTGTGATTTCATTTTATTTTTTGTTTGCATCAACTCCCAGTTGTGGAACATTCTACTCACTACTTCTCCCCACCTCCACATCAGGTGAACATATTTACTACACATTTTGGAACTTGCATCAACTGAGAAATCCCATGATTCCCTTTGTGGGCTGTAAGAAACATTTAAAGTATTACTAGGTCATCAATCCTGAAGTAGAGGCCACCCCATAGCTCAATCAATAATGTTTTTAATGGGAAACAGGAGGAAATGACAGAAGAAATTAAGTGAAAATGTAAGTAATAAGCAAGGAATCCTGCAAACATTGATGAACCATCCTTGGTTCATGCCACTAGCTGCAAGCGTTGGCTCCATCTTTATCATTTTATGGTTTACTCAGCATTAAAATGCCCTTCTCCCTTCATATCTTGGCAAGATGCATTTTTCCACCTCCAGAATATTATCCATTTGTTTCAAAATTTCCCTTTCTGCTGTCAGAATCTTCACCCACGTTTCCATTCTTATGATTTTTCAAATGCTGTCCTCGGTGACTTCCTAACCACCACCTCTTTCAAACTTCACCTCATCAATGATTGTATAATGTTTGTTCTCGCTCAAGAAGTCTTGAACGTACGTTACTCAGTTGGCTGGATGGTTGGTTTGTGATGCAGCGTGACACCAACAGTGTGGGTTCAATTCCTGCACAGGCTGAGGTGACCATGAAGAACTCTCCTTCTCCACTTCTCCCCTTGCCTGAGGTATGGTGACACTCAAGTTAAAACATCACCAGTCATCCCTTGCTGATAAAAGAACAGCCCTCTGGGACCATGATGACTTTACCTCCTAGCTCTCACTGTTAAAGCTCTGCAGTTTTTTAAAAATTCTATTGTATTGATTTCAAGGCACATGAACTAGTTTTTCAAATGCTTCCATGGTTCCGCCCCATGTTCCTTTCTCCAGCTGCATGCCCCATCTCTTCTATTCTATACATTCTGTTCAATCATTGGCAAAATTATTGGATCCAATTTTAACTGACTCAAAACGCACTCACATAAATATTTCTAACTAACTAAATATTTCAGTTGATCTTCCTGTTCTTAGGAACTTTGTAAAACTATTTTGCTTTCCCACCTTTGTCCTCTTTAAAATAGCCTCCTTAAAGCATATCTTTGGGCTAATGCCTCTGTCTTGCTCTTGCCTTTGTAAAGAGTTCTGATACATTTCTCCACCCTACAAATGCAAGTTGTTGTAAAGATAGAGATGACAGAAATTGAGAAAGCTCCAGACAGACTGTGGGTATCAGCTAAGGAAGACCAATTGTTAACGTTAGTTCACTTGTCTAGACTCAAGAAGACATGAGAAATAAAGAGAAAAACAAGATAGAAAATCAAAAATAAAACCAGGAAAATCAGCAACAAAGGCCGCTGGAGATGAAAAGAGAGAGAAAGAATTTTCATCCATAGAATAGAGAACCTTTCTTCTTGAGATGAACTAAAGCATTTCAGAGCAAATTAATTGCAAAAGCAAACAAGTAAGTAAAAATATAATATAGGTGAAAGCACATTTAAGAAGTTGAGAATAATTACATTTTTAATTTTTTAAATGCATATGCCGGCATTTGCAAACTATCACCAGAAAATTCAAGAAAAATATGGGATATACAGGCAAGGTTTGACAATGATAGGGCATTGATAAACACCAGTAGTAGACAACACAAACACTAACTCCATCAAAACATGGAGAATGGCTTACCTTTCAAAACTTCATTAATGTAACTCTGAATGTAGTAAACACGCAATTTATCTTTGGACGGTGAATCATCATCAATGCCATTCGATGTGATATAAATAGGGATGTTGCCATATTTTGATTTAATCCACCTGAGGAGTTTGCGTAAACCCCCTGGCACAACTGCTTTTCCATCTGGTGATTCCAGCCAAGTAGTATCTTTCAGGTGCTGCACTTTGAACTCATAACCAGTCTGGGCTCCAGTTTGACCTTCTAGATGTACAATATGAGTTGTGTAGTGGTTTAATGCCACAAAATCACCAGAGCCACGTATCAGCTCTTTCTCTTCATTGGTGAAGTAGGGCAAATAAGAATTGTGCCATCCAATGTTTTGCCTTTGGCTCTGCCAGTCTCGCATGATGAAAGGGTAGTCTCCACTGCCAAAAATAGGCTCTGCAAACCAACCGATATCAAACTCTAAACTCCTAGCAGCTGCTTCTATATCATTCCTAGAGAAAGGGTCAGCTGGGTCTACCCAATCAGCATGAAGAGAAACTGAGATTTGTCCATTTTGAGTCTTGCGAAATTCATTATTATAGAGATGCCAGACTAAAGCATGTGCTTTGATTAAATTGTGGCCTAAAACCGTAAAGTTTGCTTTATGTGCTACTAAGTGCTTTATGCCATTTGGCTCACTCATTGTTATCCAGAACTTCACTTTGTTTCCCAGCTGTCTGAAACATAACCTGGCATATTCCATGAAAGCCTGAATTGTTGCTGGGTTCATCCAGCCCCCATTGTTTTCTAACATTGACGGCAATCGCTGATCTTCAAGAGTAGGATGATACAGTACAACGACCGGAGTAACATTCACACGTAGAAGCTCACTGACGTAGCATTTATAATAGCGCAGATTTGCTCTGGTCACCTGTGTTGTGTTGCCAGTCGGTAGGATTAGTGACCAGTTGAGGGAGAATTGGAAGTGAGTGGCATGTGTATTCTGCAAGAGGTAAATTTCTTGTCTGATAGTGCTGTAATCAGTGCACTGAGCTTTACGCAGCTGGCCCATTACTCCTTTGACTTTCAGCAACTTTCCAGTGCCATTGATATCCCATTTGTAGATATTGCGATCAACAAATTGGGGAGTTGTAGGAGATGATTCTACCTAAGAATTTAAAAAAAAGACAAAAATATAGCACAACACTACTGAACAAAGCTATATGACTATACTCTCTGGATACAGTTAGAATTCCTTCTTAATTATTTAAAAGCTCAAAAATGACAAAGGTTTATTATAGCCTTGAGTTTAAAAGGGAGCATTATATGTCATTAGTTATAAATGCAGGACCACCAGGACTTCTATTCACCAACCAATGGATTGTTTCTAGGCACATTCCATGTCAAACATGTCTCCACGCTGCTTCATGAAGAAGGCAACCAATGACCTGGGCCAACTTAGAGGCCAACACCCTGACAACTGAGTACAAGCTTGATCCTAAACTGAAAGAATTAAATGGTCACTGAGGTAATTTTGATGGGGCCAGAGAGTTATTGACAAAATCTTATGAAGTGCCAAAACAAGCTTCTTGTTTGAAACAATAAGAGAACTGCACTGACCCTCCTTATGTATCTCACTTTGGTTCAGTGAGCTATTTTCTCCCAAGTCAGAAGTTGGTGGGCTCACGTCAAATTCCAAGGCATGACCACAGAAACTAGTTGTCACTGCTGTACTGTACTGTAGGAGTTCTGTATAGTGAGATATTAAATTGAATGATCAGTGTGATATAAACAATTCTGCAGTAATATCCATATAAGTGGGAGGATGGAGGAATTCTTTTGATGAAGTAGCCAGCATTTAACCCTCAGTTTTAACTACCAGAGCAGAACAAATTGTTCACTTATCCAATTTGGTATTTGCAAGCTTGAGCTCTGCACAAAGTGTCTGCTGAGTTTATTTACTAAACAATTGTGACAACAAATAGAACTCTGCAGAGCAACAGGGTCTGAAAGTGAGGGTCAACACACAGCAGTGGGTAGTAGGACATGCAGATGCATTTCCTCCTCCACTGCCCCCTAAAATCTGCTTTCCTAATCAGAGGATTAGCAGTTCAGCACCCTCAGCATCACCATGACTAGCAATGGCAACTAAAAGATGAAGGCATCTCAATGGCCATGCACCATCAAAGTCAGGTAAGTGTGGTCTACGGTTTGTCTTATATCTCACAATCAGTGTGTCTTTAAAAGACATGCTAATAGTGTCACTAGTCTATTAGCATATGACCTGAGGGTCTAAAAGTCCCATTTACTATCATACCTTAGATCATTGAAGCATGACACTGTATTGGAAGCATCCTCGTCTGATGTAATGTAACAGCTTAATATTAGCCCAGACACCTATACGGCTGATTAATTCAATGTTTGTACATAACAGCTAACCAATAAGTGTTGAATCCTTAATACCATGGCATCCACACCCAGTTTCTTTGGAGGATAACATTAGCATTGCCACATCAGATGAAACACCCTGTTGGAATTAAACTCACACCTTGGGAGGGCACTGATTTGGGAAGCTCCAGTGAGGTGGAAAAGTTGTACCGTTGCCAAAAGACATAAATATTGCTGCCAGGGACATCGCTGTTGGTTGTGGAGTATCCAAAAAAAAACAACACGCCCCCCATCAGGAGATCACTGGGAGATTGCCAGAACAAATTTGGCTTAATCCCCATGAGATGGCTGGCACACCCACTACTAAAAAAAATGCCAAGGTAGGCGTAAAAGATTTGGATACATTCCTGATGCCAACCTTCCCTTCTTGGTAAAATCCAATCCTTCATTGTTAAAGTAATTTATCAACTGTGAACTGCGTAAAGATGTCACAGGATATACAAAACACAAATGGAAACTTTTCTTTCTTACTGTCCATAAAAATCAATCATGAAAAGATATTTACAAATTATTTGATAAATATATTTTTCCATTAGTAAGCCTCTACAGAGGTGGTGTTACAAACCTGGACATGTCAGCGGGAGCCTCATCCCTGTAACAGCATGAATTAGAAATGATATGCTGCCCATGATTTCCCAGCAATAAAACAAAAGGGTCACAAAGCACAGATGAGAGTGCAGGAAGTTCTGAACTGTGCTTAAATGATGTTCTGACAGTTATTGCCTGATCACTAACAGGAGAACAATAAGTCATTAAAAAGAGTCTTTTGTGTTCCTCAGCACAGGTCCTTCCAGTTTCACCCAAGTTGTTGTCTAATCTTGGGCGTACAGATTTAAACGCAATATAATGATAGAATAATACAGCAGAACAGGACCAAGGCCGAGGAGATGTTTGTCTTGAGAGGGCTGTGTGACTTCAGAAGTCTCTGCCTCAGAAGTCAGCAAAGGCAGGGTCATTGAATATTTTTGAGACGGAGTTCGATAGATTTTTGTTAGGAGAGGGTGTCAAGGGTTATTGGGGGTAGTTGGAATGTGAAATTTGAAATACAAACAGATCTGCCACGATTTTTTTGAAGGCAGAGCAGGCTCGAGGGGTTAAGTGATCGACTTCTTCTCCTTAGTATGTTGGTATGTGGTCATGTCTGTGCCTGCTCTTTGAAAGAATTACCCAATTAACACCATTCTCCTGCATACAGATGATAACCAGATTGCAATTATCTTTGTGCAAAGCTTCAGCACATTATTTGAAGAAGCTGATAGATTTCAAAGAAGAAAGCATTTAGATACATCATCAGATTCAATGTGGGTGGTTTGTCAAAAAATGAATCTATTCCCCACAGTGAGCAAAGGAAATTCAGAGAGTGAGTCATGACCAGTTGCTTTTTTTTTACAACCCCAGACACCAAGCATAGAGCATTTTTGTGAAGGGGATGGTCACAAATTGCCTGCTCATCCATTTGGCTGACCACAATGTGAGGAAGGTCGAAGGAGTTTAATCTAATAATCTTTTGGATTGTTATTTATATAGAAGCATGATGCTTCATTGTAATGTTAGTGGTAAAAATATACAAACCAGTAAAGATATTACAATTAATGTTATACAATGCAGAGAATCTACAGTGGTAGACAAAAGGAGAAATAAAGAGGCAATAAAGGAATAAAAGTGGTTAAAATGAATGAACCAGTACTAACCATGATTTGCCTTCTCCCTCTATCAGTTATAGTAGGCTTACTTTTACATATAAATGTATTGATGTAAAACCACAGTAAGCAAGTTTGCCCTAAGATCTCCATTTTAAATTTCCTTAGTTCATACAATTGAACACATGAACATGAAGCTAATGAAGACCATTCAGCCCCTTGCACCTAACCAACTATTTACTAATGTTATGACTGATCTGTTTATAACCTCATATCTACATTCCTGACTTCCTCAATAGTCTTTCAGTCCCTGTCTATCATGAATTTATCTACTGCTGCCTTCAAAATATTCAGAGACTCGGCTTCCATTACTTTTTATTGGAAAAAGTTCCAAACTAATAACTCCCTCTGAGAAAAAAAACTCCATTATCTCTGTATTAAATGGGTGACTTCTTATTATTAAACAGCGACCCTAGTTCTACAGTTAAGTGAGGGAAAGCAAGAACACCTCAGAATTCCTATGGCCATTAATCTAACAGGAGTGTTAAAGTGACTGTGTGTACTATAAAACTAAACAAGTTTAGTAATCAAATCAACATTTGAGATTTAATATTTTTGACCAAAGAAACGTGCCTGAAAAACCTTTTTTTAATATAGTTTGGATTATATTTCCAACGTTCAATTCTGCTTTTAAAGCCAGTGATCCTTGTGCTCTCAGCTTCCCTCAAACACTTTGCCCCAGTAGCTGCCCTATCGGAACAAAAACACTAACAACCAAAATCATCCATAAAGTAGCATAGGCCAAATAGCAGACCAACATTGCCTAGCAAGTTATGCACGTGACTTAAGAAAATTATGGAATAGTAAAACAATAGAAATTTGCATTTATACAATACATTTAATGTAGCAAAACATCACACTGGGGTGTAATCTAGCAAAACCTGACACTAATCCACACAGGAGATGCAAAGTGATAGTTTTTTTAAGGATTGTTTTAAAGAAAGGAAAGGGAATACAGAGGTGGAGATTAAGGGGGAAATGCCAGAATTGAGGTCCTGAGCTGCTAAAAGTATGTAGGCCAAAAGGAAATCAATACAGAAAGAAATCATTTCATTTATCATGCCAACTCCCAGTTCTTCAAAGTGCTATCCAGTCATTCTTGAAAAAGAAATGAGTGTAAACATAATTAACAACTGATTTTATAACTTATTTAACAGGGGAAAGCTTTTCACGATGTTTCACAGAACCAGGTAGCCAGTTAAAAACCAATACAGAGCCACAGCATGTTAGGAGAGGGCTGACAGGATGTTAGGTCAAACAGCAGGATTTTTAATGGATGATCTCAAAGAAAGAGAGTGGGAGGAAAGTATAGAAAGGTTAGGGAGGGAATTTCAAAGCGAAGGACGTGGATAGTCAATGGCACAGCCATCACTAGTGAGCTAGAGGGGTTGGTCTGAGACCACAGTTAGAATGGAACTGTGTTCTCAGAGGGATGCAGAACTAAAGAATGTTGTAGACATTGAAAGGAGTAGGTAATAAAATGGTTGCATTATTCTTCACAGATGAAGACACTAATAACATTCCAAAATTATCAAATTATCAATTGTCCAGTTCTGATCACCCTGTTATAGGAAGGATATTATTAAGCTTTTTAAAAGGGTCACTTGACTTGAAACACTAACTCTGATTTCTCTCCACAGGAGTTGCCAGACCTGCTGAGCTTTTCCAGCAATTCCTAGTTTTATTTATTATTAAGCTGGAGAGGGTTCAGAAAAGATTTACCAAGATGTACTGGAAATGGAAGGTTTGAGTTTTAAAAGGAGAGGTTGGATGAGCTAGGACCTTTCCCACTGGAGCATAGGAGGTTGAGGGGCTGACCTTATAGAGGTTTTTAACATCACGAAGGGAAAAGATAAAAGTAAATGGCAGATATCTGAATAGCTGAATATTACTGAAATGGAGAAAGACTGCAAAAAGCTGCAGTATGGAGCGAACTGGGAGTCCTCATGCATAAATCTCAAAATGCTAGCATCCAAGTTCAGCAGGTAATAGGGAGGCAAATGGAATGTTGGCCTTTCAA